CTGTGTTCCCAGGCCTCCGCCACTTCGTTAATTGCCATCATAGCGGTGTCAGCTGACGCTGCCGTCACATCGGTGGCTTGTGACCAGGGGCCTCTCAGGTCGCATCAGCTTAGGCCAGTGGTCGGCAAACTGCGGCTTGCAAGCCACATGCAGCTCTTTGGCCCCGTGAGTGTTGCTCTTCCACAAAATACCGACTTCTGCACATGGGCCACGAAGTTTCAATCGCACTGTATGTGTGCGCCCGCACGTGGTATTTTGTAGTATTTTGTGGAAGAGCCACACTCAAGGGGCCAAAGAGCCGCATGTGGCTCGCGAGCCGTGGTTTGCCGACCACGGCCCTAGGGCACACCGCACCTCCTACACGCAACCTGGCAGTGAGCAGTTCGGCATGTCACTCAGGCTGTCAGAATGTCACTGGCTACACCCTCAGCCTCCTGCTCTGTCCAAGAGATGGGACCCAAATATTAGTAAAGCCACTAAGTCAGTGACCACAGACCCTGGCTCCCTGGGGTTCGGGGGCGCCTGAATGTTTCCGGGACCACCTCGGAGAGCCCCCTCGGTCCCGGGGGTCATGCCATAAAGAGGACGTTACCATGAGGGCCGTGTAGGTGTAGGGGTAGTGGTAGGCCAGGTAGCAGACGTCGCCATGGTGCGGGAAGGTGACGGAGAAGGTGAGGGTGTAATAGCACTTCCTGGACGTGCCCCCTGTGACAGCCATGCTCTCGCGATAGTGATTTCTGAAAGAGAAAGGAGAAGAGAGGAGGGTGAGGGAGGCGGGAGGGAAACCGGCATTCGGGTTCTAGGCCGCCAATATGGCCACTCGAACGCTGAGCCATCAGCAATCTCTAGGCTGGTCCGTCGGGCCGAGGTGGCTCAGTGGTTGAGTGTCAACCTACGAACCAGGAGGTCAGAGTTCGATTCCCGGTCAGGGCACATGTCCAGGTAGCAGGCGTGATCCCCAGGAGGCAGCCGATTCATGATTCTCTCTCATCATTGATATTTCTCTCTCTCTCTCTCCCCCTCCCTTCCTTTCTGAAATCAATAAAAATATATTTGGGGTGGAGGGGAGAGTCTAGGCTGGTCCGTCTGTCTCCTCATGGTGGCGACATGTCATGGGACTTTTTCTGATGTGTCTGAAAATGAGTCTACAGAGTCCCTGAGACAAAAGATGTGAGTAATTCGGGTTACTTGGGGTTCTACTGCCCACAACCACTTTTTATTTTTTTTACCCAAATTTGGGGTTTCCCAGCCTCTGCCTCTCCCCCGATCACCCAGAATGCAGTTCTTCTCCTCCCTCCCACCTGCCCCCGGGGGTTCATGAGCAATCACTACTCTCTATTGCAGCGGTTCTTAACCTGTGGGTCGCGACCCCTTTGGCGGTCGAACAACCCTTTCACAGGGGTCGCCTAAGACCATCCTGCATATCAGATATTTACATGATGCTTCATCACGGTAGCAACATGACAGTGAAGTAGCAACGAAAATACTTTTATGGTTGGGTCACAACATGAGGAACTATATTTAAAGGGCCAGAAAGTTGAGGACCACTGCCAGTGTATTGAGTTCCAACTCGAAGGTATCTGATCACTGCAACAGCCCATCGTGCAGATGCAGAAACAAAGGCTCAGAACAATCGACCTGCCAGAGGCCAAAAAGCCAGTCCGCGGTCCATGCAGGACTCGAACCCAGATCTGCCTGTCTGCAGGACTCTGTTCCCTCCTCCCTACACCACCTTCCTCCCAAAGGGACACACATCTGTCACCCCCAACGCGGCCCAGCTTCTAGCTCGAGACCGCATGGTTTCCTCTGTCAAGGATGAAGAAGCGATTTTGAGATTTCAGAGAACGGCATCCAAGTCCATGCCCCCAGAAGTACATTTCCAAACAATAGGCTGCACCGTCACGCAAAACGCGCCCAGACACCCATGAGGAGGTGCCGGTCTTCCAAGTCCCACACCAGGTAGAGTAGAGGCAGGGGTGAAGCAAAGAAGCCATCCCCAGCGGATCAACCCCAAGACGACGCTGCGTAAAAAGGGAGAGATGGACTGTGCACCCCCAGGCATTCTCTGTTAGGGAGAGCTGTTCTGTGTGGTGGTTGAATGGCGATACACACATGGGCCCTGGGCTTCGATCGCATTCCTGGGAATATGTTAACATAAGGTGGTGAATCGCGGTAAAACAAAGGACGCTATGAAGTAGCAACCTTATCCATTCATCTCCGTGGCATTCACGGCTGGGAAATGAAAAATGGATTACATTAGGCAGTGATGGTTTCCATGTCAGCCCTCCGTTCCTCTTTGATCACAGAACAATGGTCTTGTTAATGAGCCTAAAAGCTATTAACAGTAACGTTGGCTTTCTCGGGGCTTAGGCCAAAGTGAATTTTTTTTAAAAAAATAGAACTATCAATGATGAGAGAGAATCATTGATTGGCTGCCTCCTGCATGCCCCGCACTGGGGATCAAGCCCGCAACCCAGGCATGTGCCCTTGACCGGAATCAAACCTGGGACCCTTCAGTCCGCAGGCCGATGCTCTATTCACTGAGCCAAACCGGCCAGGGCCCAAGGTAAATTTTGGATGTGTGGCTTCTTCCCTCCCCTGTTGGCAGACTTTTTTAAAAGTATATTTTTATTGATTTCAAAGAGGAAGGGAGAGAGAAAGAGAGAGAGAGAGAGAGAGAGAGATCAACGATGAAAGGGAATCACTGATTGGCTGCTTCCTGCGTGCTCCCTACTGAGAATCAAGCCCGCAACCCAGGCATGTGCCCTAAATGGGATTTGAACCATGACCTACCAGTTCATAGGTCAGTGCTCAACCCGTGAGTCATACCAGTCAAGCTAACTATAGTTTTTAAGGGGCCTCTTGTAATCCGAGAAAAAGATAAGACTTAATTTATCCAAGAAAATAAGTACTAGCCTACCATTTTTATTAAAAAAAAACAACAACAAACAAAACAAAAAAACACTAGCAATGGGCTGATGATTATATATTTTCTAAATGACCTACCAGTTCATAGGCCAGTGCTCAACCCCTGAGTCACACCAGTTAAGCTAACTCTAGTTTTTAAGGGGCCTCTTGTAATCCGAGAAAAAGATAAGACTTAATTTATCCAAGAAAATAAGTACTAGCCTACCATTTTTATTAAAAAAAAACAACAACAAACAAAACAAAAAAACACTAGCAATGGGCTGATGATTATATATTTTCTACCTGTTCCAACACCTGCTATCCCTTTTTCCCATGTGAATTGGTATTTTATTTCCCCCTCCCAGATGCACACATAAGCAACTGATGGCTCTGGGATTCTTTTATCAAGAGCTTATGGATAATATCAGCTTCATGACAATTTAACAGGATACATCATTGAAAGTGGTTAGTAGTCAAGGGTTGAAGATGGATTTTGAAGGCCCTTTCTCTTTTATTTAAAAAAAAAAAACCATCTGACTCCGGGTATTCGTCATATATTCGCTCTCATCCGCTTTACAAAACTGAAGGACAGGGTGAACAAGAATAGACCAGAAAGACAAGTATCACCCGATCTCACCCATATGTGGAATCTAAAGAAGAAAATAAACTGATGGACGAAATAGATCCAGAGACACTGACGCGTGGAACACAGGCTGACGAATCTCAGAGGGAAGGCGGGGGGTGGGCGGGTGAGAAGAGGTCAGCCAAAGAGTGTGTGTGCATATATGCATAACCCCTGGACGGGGGTCGGGGGGACATCTCTCCCACACTGATGTTTCTCTCTGCCTCTCAATGGGGGGAAAAAGGGGACATCTGTAATTCTTTCAATAATAGAGGTGTTTGTTTGTTTGTTTACAAAAGAATAGGCCAGAATTTCTCAGGCTTTTTTGCTCATGAAAAACCAACAGGAAAGAGGAAAAGAATGACAGCTTGATGCACTCATCACAGGTGGAGTCTGTACAACTTCAGTAGCCAACCAGGTCTCCAGGTGCTAATGTGCCTGCCAACAGACAGACCATCTTCAGCAAATCAAAAGCTATTGCTTCCGATCTCCTGCGGGCACCATTTCACATGCTTCTGAAGGGCGGGTCAATTGCCACAGGGACAGGGACAAGTACGGCAGACGGGCGCCTACGGCTGAGGTGTGTGAGAGCAACATGGAAAAGCAGGAAATGGAGAGAGAATGAGAGAGCGGGGAAAAGAAACTAACAAATATCCGGACTCACTTGTAATAGCAGATTTCATAGCCCGTCCGCTTGCTCATGAAAAACCAACAGGAAAGAGGAAAAGAATGACAGCTTGATGCACTCATCACAGGTGGAGTCTGTACAACTTCAGTAGCCAACCAGGTCTCCAGGTGCTCCTGTGCCCCCACACAGACAGACCATC